GCGGTGGACGTGGAGATGATGGAGGTGGAGGCGGAGATGTCTGCGGTGGGGGCGGAGATGTCTGCGGTGCAGGCGGAGATGTCTGCGGTGCAGGCGTAGATTCTGCGGTGCAAGCGGAGATGGCGGCGGTGGAGGGCGGAAACGGCGATGGAGGTGGCAGATATAGCAACGTTGGTATCGAAGGCGGCGGCTGTGAAAATGCCATTGGCGGAGGTAGCGACCACGCCAACACCCCCGCCGAACAACGCCGAGCCCGCCGCGCCGCTGTGGGGTGGGTGCGGCGGCGGCGGCGGCGGCAGCGGCTGGGAGCGGCGGCGCGGCGGAGACAGGCGGCTGAGCACACGACTACTTAACGCGGCAGAAACGCGCGCGCGTCGCTCTCAAGAGTCAATTATGGCGGCGGCGAGCGACAGGCAGGCAGCCTCGCGTCGCGCCGGGTCGATGGGAGCGCCGGGCGCGGCGCACAATCGGCTCCCTGGAGACGCACTAGAGCGCGCGGCCGGGGGCGGGCGCGGTTCGGCGCCGCGTCTCACGGGCGAAATCGGCCATGCACAACCGCAGGCGCGAGACTAACAGCGCATTAAACCTCGTTGCAACGCGGGCTGGCGACAGAGCTGTAAATGAGTTAATTCAGTGGAGAAGCTAGAACGGTGGATCCGCGATGCCTGAAATATGAAAGAGAAGTAGAAAAAATCCGAGTTATCGGATGTCCACTAAGGGAAGTATGAGTTACCGAAGATCGGTATGTGAGACGAGATGTATTATGAAGTAATCAATTTTTTTAAATTTATATACACATAACAACGGGAGGCTAAATCTAGCTATCCGCATGGACTGCGTTGGAACCGTTATTGCCTATACGTTTTACGAAGCTTCCATGAGGTGTTTAAACGAAACGTTTATAACGAAAATTCAATACCCGCCAAATATATTAGACTTGTATGAATCATATAATTTGCATATTTCAAAAAACACTGTTTTAAATAACTTGTGATTATCAGACATTTTTAAAAAGGCCTTTAAATACTTCTTGATTTTTCACGAAAATAATGAATAATGCAAAAACAAAATAGTTGATAAAATTATGTCCCTTTCATCTCGTCATACAATGCTATGATTTGTCAATTCTATTGCGTATGCCGAAAGGAAGTGTCTTTCCTGACGAACTCGTTAATGCCAACTCACAGCGAAGCACAAAACAACCTGAAGATTTTCTGACGAGGCCACTCGTCGTTCTCACATGAATCACCCACATTATCGTCGCACGCTACGAAGCAAGGGGAGGGGGAAACGCGTTGCGCCACCGTCACTGTCATCCTCCGGCAACGACGCAAGCATTTGCACGACTCATCGGGCCTGTTAACCTCAACATCACTAGTTCGTGCGCGCGTGTGTGTGTGTGTTTGTGTATGTGTGTGAAGAGTGTGATGCGCGAAGAGTGGAGTGTGTATGTGTGTGGAGGGGTGCATGCGCGCGTGTGTGTGAAAGGGGGCACGGCTCAGAAGCCCACCGATGATTGCTTTTTATACGTTTGGATTTTTTTAGGAAATTAAAAACCATTGTTGCTGTTTATGGATAAAAAATGATGCAATTCATCACAAGTGTTTTCTTACGATGTGAAATATTATAGCATTTTTCGCTGTGAATAATACAAAATTCAGGATTATTCCCTCAGAAACTGAACATTGAGAATACTTTTCGTAATATTTCAAGCACTTCTCTTTGTATAATACAATGCAATAAATTACGATGCTATGAAGATGCATCGGCCTTTATTTGACATAACAATGTAATATATTATACCATTAAACACAAATTGATGTTAGAAAGCCGACATGACATATTTTTTCACTTACAAATCAAAAAACAAAACGGTTTTATTAGTTTAAACAATTGCGCACACACACAGATATATAATATAAATGTATGAATGTATTAAAAGAGCAATAAAATCAACGGTTAAGAGGTAGATGTCTGTCCCTTAGCAATGCACGAGACCATTACTTCCGTAGAAGTATGGTTAATATTACCAGTTATTTCCATTTCTAGTCTACACATGCACTATTTATTAACAGATACTTCTATACTCCAGACGTTTGCTGCAATCCAATTCATCCACACGATCACACTGAAGACGTCCGTCGAAAAAATTGTTTAACACCACAAAAGTTAGACAACGTTGGTAAATTAGGTCAATAAAATTCTCGATAATACGTCACATTTCTCTAATTTCCACTTTACGTAACATACAAGTAGGCTATTAATTGTTTTAAATGCTGTAATATAACGAAACAGATTTTCAATATCAATATAACAATGAATCGAAAAAATATTGTTGTATTGAAAGAGGTAAATGACGGGTCATTGAAATAAAAATAACGGGGCACTAAATTAGACGAAAAATTATATTTGTTTCTATCCCTTCGTAGGCCTTCTTCGAAAAAATATTGCTGTATTGAAAGAGGTAAATGACGGGTCATTGAAATAAAAATAACGGGACACTAAAATAGACGAAAAATTATATTGGTTTCTATCCCTTCGTAGGCCTTCTTCCGTGGCACTTGGTGGGTGGTGGACGCTGTGCGCCATCCAGCGTGGCTGCCATCTCTGCGGCACGAGGCATAAATCACTTGTTCTGCGGTGGCAGCGGCGGCTGTGACGCTCCCAGAGGGCACAACAAAGCAGCGGCCCCGGCCCCGCCCCCGCTCCCGCACCGCCCAGCCTGGTTGCGCTCGTCGCCGCCAGGCGTCGAGCCGGCAAAGCCACCCACCCTTGATGTGCCCCTAGGAAAATGCCCTTAGGAAACGTGGGTTCGCGCCTCGTGTTCTGCGGAGTCGCCTTTGCGAGGCTGTGGCATGTCATCTGTAGAAATGGCACTTTTGTGAGTGCGTGCGAGAGTGGTAAAACGTTGGTGTTTCAAATAGTACTGTATCGTACACTATCTTTACTTTCTTTCAATTTGATTATTAAAAGATGATCAAAGAATGTTCATGGGCTACATAAGCTATTACAATATTCTCTGATTTTTCCTTTTCTCCATAAAACATGTATCCGTAAAATGAATCAACCTATAATTAATATCCGTATGAATAACAGAGGTTTAAGTACAAATTTTTAGCAAATAGGACGGTATTTGAGAAAAAATGTTTTTATCTTTTGCGAAAAATATATTACAACAAAAATATATTCGTGAACAAAATAATTGAAAGATATTCAACACAACAAAGCAAATTAGTATATTGCGTGAGTAACTCTAGTAAGACACTAGAAAATTATTTGCGCAAAGGCTACATCATATGTTTTCGTTCTTACAGTACGAGTTACGCGGGTGGACAAAGCAATGAATGTCGATAATCATTTCACACTCATTTATTTCTTTATCATCTCAATTATTAAGTACTCGACTCAATTCTGAGGGACCAGTTTCCACTTTTTGACATGCGCTTACAACCATATTCTTTTCCTTCAACCTGCACACCCGTCAAACATCTACAAGTTTACAAATTAGCCACATGATTGCATACCATTCGCAAATTTTTAGCGATCTAAAAATCCAAGAACCCACTCCAGAGGAGAAAGAACGAATTGCAAGTAAATCCACCCGCTTTTGAAGGGTTTAGTGGTTGCAGGCAACGTTCTGAGCGGACGACAGTCGCCAGCGACTTGGAGGAGTGGAAGGCCGTTGTCCTCAGACGCGACATCCTCCGTGCCGACCGACCGACCGGCCCGCCCACACGCACGCGCCACCCACGCGCCAAGCACGAGGACAAAAGACGGCGTGCACACCGTTCACGCATTCCTCACGTTCTCTTCATTCTTCCGACTTTGTACGTTTTTACTAGAGGACAAGCTCTTCAATACGGTTTCGAGTTATAAGACTAGGATGAAGAGTCTAAACTACTTCAAAAATAAGTGGTAAAAATGACATTAAATGCAAGTTTTCTTGCCTCGCAAAGCACTCTAAAAGATAACATTCAATGCTGTAATAATAATAATAATAATAATAATAATAATATACATCTTTATTGCAATAATTTTTGGAATTATTTCATGCGAAACAATCTATCGGAAAGTCATATTTGGTTAAAGTAAGTCGGCATTTGCGAGCATTTTTCTGGTGAACACATTCCTATTTTACTAAGCAATTTTCATTAAGCACTATTCCGTAAATAATATCAAACAGACTGTGGAAATTGATCGCTAATACGTTGTTTATTCTTATAAAAGGTTACACCGAATGAAATTCATTAGAGGAACCAATTTTATCAACCGTTTCTTAAACAGGATTACGCGACTCCCCTTTCTTGAACCTCCAGCAAAGTCTAAATAAATCTTCCAGAACAAAAACGTTGGGGCGCGCGTTTTTGAGGTCCCGGCCCGCGCTAATGAGCCCTCGCGACGTGTCAATGGGCCGGCCCCGCATTCACAGCTTTGAGGCTTACCGCACATGACGCACACGTCGCGGGAACAAAAGTGTCGCCCCACAAAGCACCGAGGTTCGCTCCCCGCGCCCGGCCGCTTGTTCCCGTTATTCTTCTGCCGCCGTCCCCGCTCCCTCCGCCCGCCGCCTCTTCTTCCGCAGCCCTCTGCGGGCGACGCTATCCAGAATAACGCTGTGCATCGTCGTCTCGACGCGACGGCGAAATGAAAATTGCGCAGGGCTGCTTCTGTGGCGCCACCGTCGCCGAGGCGCCGTCTCGCTCGCTTTTTCCAACGGCGCTGCTGGGGAGGCGCAGGCGGCGGTGATGGCGGAGGCCGAGACGGCGGCGGAGGCATTCGTGGTGACGGCGGTGGAGGCTCAGGCCGAGCCGGCGGGGAAGGTGGCCATGGCGGGGCGCGAACTGCAGTGGAGGCGGAGGGAATGGTGACGGCGGAGGAGACGTCGGTGACAGGTGGATGACGCTGACATCATCGGAGATGTCGGTAGTAGCAGGGGAGGTGGCGACTGCGGAGATGTCGTTGGTAGCAGTAGAGATGGCGGCCACGGGGTGGTGCCGGCGATGGAGTTGGCAGGCAGTGGCGGCGGCGGGGAGATGATGGCATTAGAGGTGGCGGGGACGGAGATGTCGGTGACAACAGTGGAGGTAAGGGAGGCGATGGTGGCTGAGGCGGGGAAGCGCTTGTCGCGTCGTGTAGGAACACAGGGAAGATGAAGCCGCTGGAAGACGCACAAGAATAACTGCATGTGGTGACGCTCTTGCAGGGAGCTATGGGCTTCGGAAGCTTATCTCTGCGTAACTTTTATGGTTGGTACATTCTTGGTTCACCTTCGAATCGAATATCAGTTATTTTAGTAAATTTAATAATTTTAGTAAAAATAAAGAAAACATTTACAGACATTTTCATAATCTCGTCCCAATGAGTGATTGTCGAAGAAAAACATAGAGCTGCAATTTGAGAATCAGTTGAACATAAACATAATAATACATAGACGGTTTTATAAAAAAAATGGAAAAAGATCGTATGAACTTGCGGAAACATATTGGAAGTGAAAATCTGGAGCAATGTCTGAAAAAACTTTAAAAATTCAGTGCGATCTTTATAAAAATTTCCCAAAAATTAAAAGAATCATTTGAGTTGTCAGAGAGAAAAGGGACCTTATCTTCAAAGGCAGAATATATCATAAAGAAATAGTTGTATTAAAAAAATTACGGGTATTAAAATAGTGGTATTAAAATGGGGACGATTATTACACGAAGGACTGGACTGGACAAACGAAAAGTACGTGAAAATAGCCATAAGAGGAGATCACAGTAAGCCGGACATACAAAAGATTTGGAAGATAAAAAGCGAGAGAAAGGGTTGAGTGCAAATACGGTTGAGTTACATGTAAAGCAAAGAGTCAGTCATGGCAGTGAGGTTATGAACCGCAATGACCACACTCGACAGAGCGCAGAGAAAACGGGGGAGCTCATGTGACTGGACGCTCTGCAAGACAATATAGCTCTGAAGTGCGCAGGTGACAGAAGGGCTGAAACAGAAAGAAATGGAAGAAGCGCCTGGAGCCTCGTCTTTGGTGGAGGTGCTGTCAAAAGACCAAAAGTGGGGTAGAGGGGGATAGTGTGACGGAGGGGAGATGGAGACAGAGGGGGATACGGATGAGACGGTGAGGAGAAGGGGGAGTTGGAACAGAGGGTCAGATGGGGACGCATGTGGTGGGGATGGAGACAATGGAGGCGAGACTAAAAGTTGCGGACGGAAGGAGTCGGGGGACGAGGATTTAATTTTGAAGCGGGGATCGCAGGCGCAGGCGCGGCGAGGACATAGGCTACGTCGGGTGCGGAGGAGAGACTGAAGGAATCAGCAACAAAGAGGAGAGACTGGAGCAGGACTGAAGAGAAACGAGTGGACAGAGAGAAGACGGGACGTCCCAGAGCAGGAGACGAGCGCCGGAGGTGTGGACGGCGGGGACGCAGCGTTTGGAGGCAGGCAGTCGCAGTTGCGGGGGCTGGGTGGGCGTGCGGGAGGGGGCGTGGCACATTTCTGTAATGAGTGCGGGCGGGTGGGCGGCTGAGAGGAAGTTTCTTGAGCGGCTTTTGCGAACCGCGCGACGCGCGTACACCGCGAAAGCAAACGCCGCAGGCGGCGACATCACACGCGCGGGGCCTCGCAGAAAACGCGCGTGCCGCGGCAAAGCCCGTCGCCGCCCCTGTCGCCGTCACCACGCGCCGCAATATGAGAGTCGCTGACGTCATCATCGCGTAGGGGAGTCGAGTAAGAGGAAGGTGGATAACATTGACGACGCGAGAATGAAAAAAATTGCCCTGAAGATGGCTGCCTCATGAGGAATCCCGCTTGAAGAAAAAAAGGAAGCAAATATTAAAAGGGTAAGGCGTAACTCTCGACGAAGAGCGCCCGGAAATTGACAGAGGGTTTGGGAAATCTTTGAAGAGGGTGGGAGGGGTAAAAAGAGCAAGAGTGATACTGTCATTTCACGATGCATATGGAGAGAGACAGAAGTCAAGTCATGTGACAGGAGACGATGAGATAACTGAAGGACTGAGTGAGAGACAATCGCAAGTTCCACTATTGCAGTTTTGCAATTCCGTTCGTTTATGTTTGGCGTACGCATGCAAATCAATGAAAGGCCAAGACAATCATTCAGATGTTATCCTATCATTCAGATGTTATCCATATCTAATTGGTTAAAAAATGGAAACAATATGTGTTACAGAAGTGTTACAGAAAACGATTCGTAGCGTAAACAATCTTAAAAAGTATAATTCGTGGCTTATGACTTATCTCTCACTAGCCCATTCAGCTTGAAGGTGAAGAGGAGGTAAAAGCAAAAGCAGTGAAGACTGTGTGCTAGCGAAGATAGTACAATGGAAAGCAAAGTTGTCAGGAAGGGCTGTAGCGGATTGGGACGGAAATGATGGTGAAAACTCAGAAGCATTAACCGACAAATTCACAACGCCAAAGTATTGATGTGAAGTACGACGTAAGACGCACTGAGTGATATTTCGCGAGTACCATGGCCGGGATATTAGATGGTAAGTGACAAGCGCGGCGCACGGTGTCTGCTGCGGAGACACATGCGCAGTAACCGCGCCGCAATATGAAATCCTCCGCAGAGCGTCAGTCGCAGTCGACGGCAATAAAATTGCGCGGCTCCCTCGCACGTCTCCGCGCAGCGCCGCTCCGCCGCAGGCCCGACGCACCGCACGCACCCCCAACGCACGATGCCGCGCCCCAGGAACCACGCGGGCAAACACGTTCCTTGACTTCTTGGCTGTCCAGGTCACGCCGCGTCGATGGCTGAGAGACAGTGAAGATCTACCCTGAAGAAGCCTGCGATATGACAGGCGATACGTCGCCCTCTCAGCCATCGACGCGGCGTCACCCGGACAGCCAAGAAGTCATGAACTCGAGCCGCAGAATCCTACGTGTACAAACACGTTCCTTCTACCCAAAATAAGGTGGCTGGAATGGAAAGGTATCGATGACTTGAAGGCATTCTGAAAATTCGCAGTGAAACTGAAAATACGTGATCATGCGAAGAAAGTAAGCAGTTCAACGACTTAAAAAAAGAAATTCTGTTGGCGTGAAGAAGTAGAAGGGTGAAAAGTAATCAAAACAATACGTGGTCCTCAGAAAATGAAGTTCGAAAAGAAGAGAAGAAGCAAAGGAAGAAAAAGCAGGATAAAAAAGAACGAAGAGAAAGAAAACGAGCCCGGGAGGTCATAGATTCCAGCAGCATCGGAAGCGGATATTGGACGCCAACTAAATGCCTGGATCGCCAGTCCCTGAATGCGAATTCAACATCGATGATTCATGATCGATTATTATCGTCGTCACATTTCAATTCCTGGCAGACGCCGGAGCAGATCTTTAATCAACAGGCCCTGAACCGAGCGTGGTATGCTTGAATCATGAATTTGGTATTGTTTCCTAAACTATCGGTGCTACAACAGCAAAAACCATCTCGTTTTTTTTTCTGTAGCGAATACGTAATACCATAATATTACAAATTGTATCCTATTAATTCTTTTGCAATTTCGTGAAACGACCTTTCTGTTAAAAATGAAGGATAAATTCAAATATGCCATTTTCGAAAACCTGCAACTTCCGAACTTCTACAGGTTGTATTGAAAATAGAACATACACAATATTATTACCCTAACTCTGTGGCAGTATTCGAGAACGTGAAAACAAATTGTGCCCGCTCCTGGCGCCTTCCACAGTCGCTAGATGGGAAGGGTGCGCGCACGGGATCCCCTGCCTCAGCCACCTGTAGCGCAATTTGTCGCGTTTTCAATAAGGCAGCGCGGCTTTGAACGCGTGCCAAAGGAGCTCGGGGGAGCAGCGGCATACACGAGGATTTTCTTTCCGGGACGCCAAGAGACACGGCGACGCCACAGCGGCGGTTTATTAGCGTATGCTTCCCAGGGATATGGTTTCGTGTAAAGACACCGGAAGGTTCTGGGTTCGACTGCCGACGGTGGCGGATTTTCGACGTTAGCTGCATAGCTGGATCGAATTCAGCCGCTGCCTGAAGAAGAATTTTAGAGGCGGGTTGCTCTTACCGGTGATTTTTCGTGGTTTCGCCTATTAATACCAGGCAAATACCCGGGAAGTACCCTTACAAACGGGTCACGGGTCGCGCGCAATCTTGCCTTCCTCTTCCTCGACCTTTTACACACACACAATATGCACTACAATACCACACATGCCCGTAGATCGATCGGGAACTTGCAGCTTATCCAGGCTGGGGCGATGCCCCACTGATGGGAGATACATGGTTACGGAAAATCCCACTAGCCGACTACAGGCCGGCGCCGAATCTCGCCATACAGCGGGGGAAAGACCACCGCCACAGCCAGAGCAAAAAACACGCACTACACTTACGAACTAATATTCTAGATCTAGAACATGAAACTGGTATTTCTCATATCTGGCAGGGTGAAATATTGAATGGCGAGAGCGGGGGATATTCAACTACTAATCAGAATAAATAAAGGAATCGGGTAACCTGCGTCCTCCCGTCACTTACAATGAATGAGACATCACAAAGCGTCACAAGTCAATGAGCTTCAGAGTCTCCTGGTGGGGAACTGGAATTTATTTCTGGATCAATACAAAAAAAATTCAAGAGATTTCTCGAGGAAACCTGTTTTGAGGGGAGGTTTTAAGCAATTACTATGCGTTTGGGGGAGTGAAGGCAGACTTCAATTGCTCAATTTATTCCTAATGGCACGAGGAATCTATTGAAATCCCATAGAATATTCTTGTAGAATTCTGAAATAACGCTCTTGTTTATTGTTTCAATGCACTTTCATTTGTAGAATACTATAACATTACTTGATCAGCATAACACTACTTGATTCATTAGACTGACGATAAATTAACATTTTATAATGAAACTTAAAAATAAAATAAAAAAACAAAAAAATACAATAATACTTATTCATTTACATCTATGTCCTAAAACCCGGCAAATGTATTTCATTTAACACGACTTTTTATTATAAACTTACACAACACAGATAAAACATTTTTAACTCGAAAATACCACAGGCGCTGCGCTAAGCTTTATTTGTAACCAACTCATTGGGAAATCGTAGCACGTGCATATTCTTGTTTCCATAACTGGGCTCACGACTCAAGGGAAGGATATTTATTTGCATCTCGAGAGCGTATGCCTTCTAGTGACAGATTTGGGGCGAAAGTTGTCAAGGCTGAAGACAAACGCGCGAAGGAACACGGAAGCAGGAAATTACCAGGGATGTGGAAATGCCTTCATGCGCCTCCATCTATTTGTATTTAATCAACTCTCGTATCAACGACAGGCAAGTATACGCTCTCTTTGATACAAGACCACTGTCCTTGTTTCTTGTCTTCGAAAGAAGGTGTCAAAGGAAAAGAAACGAAACTACTTTCTTCTTGGACTTAAATTCTTGATTTGGTTAAACAAAAGGAAGTTATTATAAAATACGATACTTTGTCTTAAAAAGAATTGTTTCTTTTAATGCGACAATAAAAGTATTTTAAAAAGAAACCGCGATAAAAGAAAGATATATACAAATAGCATGTATAAACTGCATTGAAGTTTTAGACCTTCAATTGTTTAAGGTTAATGAGTGGTATAATTGAACTCATTACGAAACACCAGTTTGGCTCATGATCAACAGGTAAACTCCGCGAAAGCTCTGCCTGACGCTGTCGAGACTTCCTCACAAATTGGCAAATCTTCGAATCCATTTGCGCAACCGCTGCGTCGAGTAGCTGCATCGACTTCGGACACACAATGAAGGTGTAGTGCAGCGAACAGCGTGTGAACACGGACCTCTGAATGCAGTGAAGCGGTGGTGCAAGCGACGGAAATAGCGGTGACGGCACCGCAGGTTGCGCACCTCGTAGCTCATTTGCCGTCGCTCTACCTCTATGCTCTTTGCTCATTTGCCTTCAACTGCGCTGATGACCTTCGTACTCGGACATAAAAAAACACCACGCTCTAGGAGCAATACGACGTAGAAATGTAACATGCCTTCCAATTCAATATACATTAACATAATATTTATTATGTATTTATTTTATTCATAAGGTTAAATACTAATAGTAGTATGTAATAAAATACTATTACAATACCTCTTTATCACCTTTGGGTGATTATTTTTAATATACTCTCCTGAGTACGTAGAATGTGTCGCAGAAATGTTTGTTCTGACGTAACCTATTTCGTATTTTATTAAAAATACGATAAAAATAAAATTAAAATGTATACACACGACAATAAAGATAATTTATCGACTTATAAAATAAATTACAATTTCTTTACAGCTGAACTTGCCGGTAGACTGTTGCAGACGATATATACTAATGTACAGGTCGGGTACAATCATTCGTCAAATCAAATGTTTTTTGTAATAGTTTCATGCGACGTTACTTCTGAGTTCAAGGTAAATAGAATCTCTTGATCGATTTGTACACAGTTTTGGATTAAATTTGCATTAGCTCCAGTAGACATTTCAATTAATTCAATACACTTTCTGGCGTGTAATTTGGTAAAACGTCGTGCTAACGTCTGTTGACAAGTAGAAAATTTCTTAGAACAAATAATTCCGCAATTTCTCATAAAATTCTATTAAGATCAACCATTATAAAACTCGCAGTTTTTCGACCTATTGTTTTAATATATCCATATTTTCATTTACCGACACGAACATAAAGACATTGTACAATACAGCTACTTGTCATTTAGAGTTTATTTTCGAGTTTTGATACTGACACACACGCGTACGGAAAGTCCATTTTGGGACTAAAGACGAAGTACAACACTACATCTAATCCATATCTCTTTCCCCAATTAATTTTTCAAACATCGTAAAGAAACGAAAAAAAAACAAAAAAGAACAAACGAGTATCTCAAGAAATTCTACACCTTCTACAAGGATTCTAAGCTTGAGCAGAAACGGCCGGTTATTCCAGACTCTGGAGACGATGAGTAGCACCGAGACCAGGCTGACTAGTTACAGTCGCACCTGGCAACGTCTTTTAATGTAAATGAGCCGCCCTCACCTTGGGCTTCGCAATGGAGCTGACAGAGGCGGCAGCGCTGCCGACTTGTTTATTCCAAGAGCTTCCGCGTGAAAAAGTAGTGCGTCTCGAGAAACAAAAACGCTTCGTCGTCGTGTATCTGCCTTGCGTCACGAACAGGTCCCCACCCTATTTTTGACAGAAAACGAGTCCGAATGCTTGGATGATATACTGTCCCACTTGGCGTGCCAAGGTTTCGCCTCGAATACAAACTGCGATAAATCACTGACCTCAAATTTCTTGAAAACGCGTTAAAATGGAGTAGTAACGAACTCAACTTCGTTACATTTTTATGCCTTCCCGAACGAACTTCTAAATTTCTGCCTCTAATGGTACTGTGGCATCCCGATTTAGACATAAGAAGAATTAAATAACATTAACAATTATAAATGATATTGTAATACTACGAATGTTATGAAACGTATACGTCGTAATGATCCTACGATTAATGATCCTAAGGTTATTCCTAAGATCTTGCTGAACATTGTACCGACAGCTTACAGAAGAAAAAAACATTTTATACAGGAATTAAGCAACTGGAAATTTAATTTATTGTGAATATAGCTGACAATTAAAAAAAGTATAGAAGCGCAGTTTTCATATCACTTATTAATTCGTATAGCGCGTGTTCGCTTAAAACGAAATGCACCAGAACTAGTTACAGGCACCCTTCGCTTCACCGCTTCTAGATGTGTCGAGCCTTCTGGGATTTGTGAACCCCTTTTTCGAGGATTCGTTCCTTTTGATCGATCAATTCTTGGAGAGACTCGGCCGGCGCGAGGGGGTGGTGAGAGGGAAGTAGGGGCGTAAAAAAATTGAGCCCAAAAGAAGTCAAACAGATCGCCTTTCAATACGGCACAATAGCGGTAGTTTGTAAGAGTTTTCGAGACACAACATTCGTAATCTTAGTTTATGTCATCGGAGTTGGTCCGAGGCCTTTGCCAAAGGCTCCGTCGCCTCCTCTTCCTCCGCCCCCATTCGCCTCCTTCGCCGGCGCTAAGACCGCGTTGCGTTCTCTTTGTGTGCACACGAAGACTTTCCGACCCCCGAAACTTTCCCGAGGGTTGTACTTGCGGGGTAAGTTTGGAAGCATGTATTCAAGGGGAAGAAAATACAAACTTGCTCATTCTTAAGGCATTCACCCTGTCGGCGCTGCGGTCGCACGCGAGCGGATTTGTAAACACGCCGAGCGAACGGGTCGAGTCGGACGGGGAAGAAGGGGCGTACCGCAAGGCGCGCGGGGAGAGCCGCAGCCTGCGACGAGCGGCACGGGCGACGCCGCTGACAGTCGGCGAACTTCGCGCTGGGTTGGTGAAGTTCTAATTAAGAGTGCACTTCGAGACTTCACCGGAACACAATATTCATATTCATTGTAACACATTTATTGTACTTAACATCTTTGTCTACTCATAAAATTCAATGTAACACTGTTTGAACACTCCCAGTCGGCGCAACTGCATTTAATGGTTTTCAAATGAAAATTAGATGATAACACAAGTTATGATTTTATCACAAGAAACAATTAGTGTTGGAAATTTTTCACAGAAAAGTTTAGAGATAATAGGTAACATATCGGAAGGTTAATATACTATAAAGACCTGATATCTCACAAATGTCTCCACTGCATGCCTCTTCTAGCCACCATGTTACCATAAGGCTCACAATAAAGGTTTGAGTCGGCTAGTAAGAACGTTTAAATTGTTTTATTTCGTTTAAATTGTATTATTGTAAAATGTTTTTTTGATACCGTGAGATGGAGATATTGGTTTCTTATTTAGACCATAAAAACTTTATAATGTGGGAGGAAATGCGTAATATGCAAATCTCAACCTATATATTCTACGCACCGGCTACTCATATGAAGTACTTTTCGAAATTAGCTAAGAATGCAACTGTCCGACTTGCCCTCATCCCCGACATTGGAAAGAGATGGTAGATTTTCACGTAGAGGTTTCATAGATACATAGAAAAAAAGAAAAACAAATATAAAAATTGTCATATGATTGTGGAACACATCCAGGAATCGTAGGAAAGTAGACTACCAACAAACAACACTCAAATGAACAACTCACAAAAACAAAAACTTATTTCAAAAATATGGCCGATGAAAAACACATAAAAATAGACATAAACACATGGACGACCCATCAACACAGAGACGACGCACAAACACAGAGACGACGCACAAACACAGAGACGCGGACAAACACAGAGACGCCCCACAAACACAGAGACGCCCCACAAACACAGAGACGCCCCACAAACACAGACACGACTCACAAACACAGAGGACACTCACAACACAGAGAGCGACTCACAACACAGAGACGAGCTCACAAAACACAGAGACGACTCACAAACACAGAACGACTCACAAACACAGAGACGACTCACAAACACAGAGACGACTAACACAAACACAGAGACGACTCACAAACACACGAACACAGAACGACTCACAAACACAGAGACGACTCCAAACACAAGAGACGACTCCACAAACACAGAGACGACCACAAACACAGCAGACGACTCACAAACACAGCAGACACCACACAAACACAGAGACGACACACAAACACAGAGACGACTCACAAACACAGAACGACTCACAAACACCAGAGACGACTCACAAACACAGACGACTCCAACAAACACACAGACGACTCACAAAACACAGAGCGACGACACACACAAACACAGAGACGACTCACAAACACAGAGACGACACTCACCAAACACACAAGACGACTCACAAACACAGACACGACTCACAAAACCAGAGACGACAAACAATACACAAGGTGAAGTACAAACACATAGACGTCTCACAAAACACAGAGACGACCACAAACACAGAGACGACTCACAAACACAGAGACGACTCCACAAACACAGAGACGACTCACAAAACACAGACGACGACTCACAAACACAGAAGACGACTCACAAACACAGAGACGACTCACAAACACAAAGACGACCCACAAAACACACAGACAGAGTCACATACACATGGACCCACCACAAGCACATGGACGAGCCACAAACACATTGACGAACCACAAACACAGAGACGGACTTACAATTATAGACGACCACAAAACATATAGGCGAAACACTCATGGACGCCATACAAACACAATTGACGCATCACAAACACCATGGAGAGATGCACAGATGAATCACAAACATGGCGGCCAACAATGGACGAATCACAAACACATGACGATACAACACGAATAACAACAAACCACATGGACGAATCACAAACACATGACGATCACAACACATGACGAATCACAAACACAATTAAACGAATCACAAACACAATTAACCGAATCACAAACACATGGACGAATCGCAAACGACAATTAACGAATCACAAACACAATTAACGAATCACAAACACAATTAACGAATCACAAAACCACGTGACGAATCACAAACACGTGGACGGAATCACAAACACATGGACGACTCACAAACACATGGGCACGACTCACAAACACATGACGACTCACAAACACATGGGACGACTCACAAACACATGGACGACTCACAAACACATGGACGACTCACACAAAAACACATGGACGACTCACAAACACATGGACGACTCACAAACACAATGGACGACTCACAAACACATGGGACGCCAACCCCCACTCACAAACACATGGACGACTCACATAAACAACTATGACGACTCACAAACACATGGACGACTCACAAACACATGGACGACTCACAAACACATACGAACAAAACATGAACGACTCACAAACACATGGACACAAAAAACTCAGGACGACTCACAAACCATGGACGACTCAAAAACACATGGACGACTCAACAACCACATGGAGACTCAACAAACACATGGACGACTCCACAAACACATGGACACGACTCAAAAACACATGGACGACTCACAAACTACATGACGACTCACAAACACCATGGACGACCACAAACACATGGACGACCACATGGACGACTCACAAACACATGGACGACTCACAAACACCCATGACGACTCACCAAACACAGAGACAAGATACAAATAATAAGACCATTCGATCTCTTGGACAACTCGCACTCAATGAGGGTCCGACTCTTTGCTGTATACTGGCGTAACTTATTACAATAGCAACAAAAAACGGAATTTGTGTGTTTTTTTCGTTTTTCACTTGTTCATTTTCACGCAGAAGTGATGAATATACACGTAGGTATGGTATACAGGGAAGCACAAAAAACAGAAACTTATTTTCTTAATCATAGATACATGTCATAATTTAATTACATCCCTTGCAATACACACTAAACAAAGACGTCTTTGTTATAGTATATCGTGTCTCTAAACCACCACATTCTCAGACGCTTGCAGCATTTTCTAGTTCAAAAATGAGCTTGCGGCCTTAAGAAGGTTTGAAGAGCGCTTAGTTTTAAGCAGAAAGCATGAGTATGGTGCAGGAGGGGAGGGCAGTTAAGGGTTGTGCGTAGATCATTGTATAAAGAATCTCTCGTACATTAGTTGGAATTGAGCGTTATAAAGCTATGGGAATAGGAAACAGTGTGACCTGGATTTGTATCTGAGAGAGTGTGCATAACACTGATCAAATTTTCATCAACTGCCCGTGAATAAAAATATACTGTGTCCGTTTTTAGCCATATGCAATCTTCACACAAGAATTGTCCACGGAAACTACCTTCTGGTACCTTCATTCGTAACTCGTTATTTTTGAAATCCCATAGCCCAAGACTGACGTAATCATACGTGCCAAGAGGCAAGTGCCAAGGAAACACACGGACTGTGCACATCTCCATTACACACGCGATTACATGCGCCCAAAACTTAAGTAAGAAAAGATGTTTGAATGGGATCATGCAAGCGACTATATCTTACCGCGTTCATGAAGTCCACGCCAACACCGTTCAATTTTTTCGACGCGGCTGCGTCTGGGAAAACCCTATGATGGCGGTCTAAAATTACTTTACTAATCACCAAAACTCAGCAAAATACTTGTCCCGGCCTGCGCGGTATAGATGAGTGCGAGCCAGAAAGAGGCACACGTTGCACCAGCTACATCCTCCTATTTCCCCTCCCACGTTCGCCGCTCCGCGCATTACACAGGCTAATGAGTCGAGGAGACCGAGAAGAAGAGCAGATGATTCGTCCGATAACGGACAAACATTTCAGCGACCGCCCGGTCGGCAAAGGTACGCGTCATTGGGGGCTGTAAAACATTTAACTACGCTTCTCCCGCTCCGAAAAGCGACCCGGGGAAGCAACGCACGAAAAAAACAAGAAAAAAAAGAGGAGGAGCAGCAAATAGCCTTAACAACAAAACTTGTCCCGTCCCGTGTATACAAGTACTTAAATTTCTTCCTCGCGCTTTAAGACGACGTCTCGGAGAAAGTCTTCCGCGTCGAGTTTCATTCTAGTCTTTCCAATTTATATCCCTCCGCCTCCCGTCCCGCCGCCAGCTCCCCGAACGGCGCCGGCGAGGCCGCCCGGCGGGAGAAACGGGCGAAAGGGCGGGGAAGGTCGGGGGAGGGGGAGGAGGGGGGGGGAGCTCATTACACATTCTCCGCCGGCGTAAGGCGCATCTGTTTTGAGGAGGAAATAACTCAACGCCACCTCTCGCGGGCCACGTCGCTTCCCGTCCCTCGGCTCCCGCTGCCACGCGCTGCAAAGCGTGGCTTGGCGCCCGCCCTCCTCCTCCCCCGCACGACTCCACTCCACTTGAAATGTCCGAGCGGAGCGTCTCAGTTTCCGTCCTTGATGGTTCGCGCGGTGGTTCGGTTTTCCTTTCCCGCGATTTGCGTCCGCTTTTCCATACTAGATTTTAGACGGACTTTTCTCTGCTACGTTCTTTCCTTCCTCAATGAAAAGCTAGAGTTGCTACCCTCCCCTCGTCTTGTTTACCGTTCGTTGTAACTTAAAATGTCGTCGCGGAGAGTCAGGTGTTTTCGGACTGTTTGGACACGGTGTTGATTCGTTTTTTTTTAACATTTGACATAGTATTTCATTTCCCTCATTTTACTTTCGTCATCGGCGCTACGTCTCCACCTCGTGAGGCTGCGTGGAAAGCAGGGTTAGTGAATCACAGCCCTGGATCCGCCACCGCACGTCTCAACTAGAACTGTCGACTCAGACTCCTTCGACATATTACTGCCCTTATATACAGTTCGTTATTCGTTTCATGTGATTTTATCCACACTAATATTACAGTGGTTTTTAACCTCTTCCTCATATTGTACGAAATTTGACTGCAACCCTGTCTTCTACCTCTACATATGGATCCCGATTTTTAGATATTCTGTACGAGTAATTTTAGAGTCTTTAAAAATTCAACCTCCTGGCAACTGCCCCATCCTTGACCCATCAGAGGAAAGCGCAAGTCAGTGTTACAATTTCTATCCTCTTCCATCACTGATCGTCTTAATCAGAAATGTCCACACAAACTACCTTTCTTTCCCTTCGATTCTGACAACATTCTTGCCTTGGATTCGCTATTCATCCCATGCGATTCGCTTTATTCCCACCTCAATGTTCATCGTATGAATGCATACGTCAGTTTCTTAAACTCACAACATGACTCACTTAATTCCACTGTATCGTTCTTCTCTACATCCCCATTATTTTTTTCTCCACTATTAGCTACACCTGAAAACTGTTATTGTCCTGTGGCCTGAAGTGCCCATTGGTATTATCTAATATTACAATTATTTTGAAATCAATAATTATTCGCATATTTTCAATTAGGCGATTTTCAGACAGATGATAACCTCTTTTCCCAAAAATCTTTTTGAAGTAGGACCCCCTCCATATTCAATTTGTATACTTTTGCATCCTGTAGTTGGCTTCATTAGAAACGCCATAGGATTATCTGAAATTAACTCATTTTGTCTACGCTGCTAGTTAATTCCCCTGCCGTCCTCACCTACCTCCTCTCCTTTCCGTCCAGAAGGCGGGTCTCCCGGGCGCTTTCCGCATCCGAGTCGGCCCCTGACGTAGCTGCGGGCGCGCGGAGGCGTCCGGACTTTAAAGCAATCATTGCATGAAGGGCGACCATGCGCAAGGAGGAAGGGAGGGGGATTCATACCTCGCTCAGCGCGAGCTCGCGGGAAGCGTCGATTAAATTAGACGCCGCCGGCGACAAAAGCGGCGCGCCGAGCGAAAACGCACGCCGCGGCGTCCGACGCCCGGGCTGAATGCAGAGAGCGCCACCGCCCTTCACCCACCCCTTCGCCCACCACCTGCCCATCCCACTTCGTCGCCGCCGACGTCCAGCCCTACACGTCGGCGAAGGTGACTACTGATGGTCACTGCAGCGCCTCTGCCCCGGAGGTCCTAGGGTGGCAAGGTTTTCGACACTAGCTACATAGGTCAAATTCTGCCGCTGTCTGAAAGAGAATTCTCGCGGGCGGCTGCTCTGATTTGTGCTGTGTTTCCCGTGGTTTCTGTGATCAACATCTGGTGAATGCCACCCTAACAATAGGGTCACGGACAGAACGCGATTGTTTCTTCCTCTTCCATGTCCTACCCTCGCATCTTACGTACACGCACGAACACACGCACACTTACATGCACAACCCTACCACATATGTTGGGGGCTTAGAGCTTGTCCCAGTTGTGGCGGAGCCTCGATGATGATAGATACCTGGTTTAGGAAAACCAATCCAAGCGAGATCTTACCATCCAGCGGGGAAAGATCACCACCACCTATTGCGATAAAACAGATACTACACTAACGGGACTATTGATCATAGCCGTTGACGCACCCAGAATTGCTAATCAATGAAAAATTCCTTCCCTTCACGACCTTACCTCTCTCACCTTCTCGCTGTCTCACGCCGTCTTTCACGCCCTCGCCGACTTGCAAGTGCACGCCGTCTCGGTATTAACACAGCAGTTTTTTCAGTAATGATTACAGTAAGCATGTGTATTGAGGTAGACGTTTTGTAGGCAAGAATACACACACAATCACACGTGCGGGTACAGCAAAGTACTGTACGTTATTATTATTAGCAAATCAACAGACAACCCTGACATACACCAATTACATTACAACCCAGTAACAAACATTCGAAAGTATTACTTCTCATCTGTGCAATTAGTTTTAGCAGTAGTTGACATTGCTGATGGGAAACAGATATTAATGGCTTATAGGTGCAGGTACTAGATAGCAAATATAAATCGTATATAAATATAATCCCTAAAGGGATTGGAAATATTACTCAATACCTGTGTTGAAAACTTGTTTGTAACGTGCGTTCACGAGCGAATGAAATATTTATATAAAACAACGCGTGCCTGAGCACACGGCGGAGCAGAGTAATTCACTGACAAATGTGAAGGATAATCGATTCAAGCCATTAAGATACACACCTCGCGCGCGAGCACAATCCGACAAACAACACGAACCCGCTAATATGCACTGATCAAACAGATACTACTACTCCCTTTCGCCAAGCACACAGGTATATCAACCACAACGCATCAGCGTGGAACGGATAAGCGCGCCATAGACGCGTAAGGAAACTACTATTCCTACACACACACACACACACACACACACACACACGTCTGCAGGAAAGCAGCAGCAGCAGCAGCAGCAGCAGCAGCAGCAACAGCAGAGGAGGTCTCGTTCAGGAAGCCGCCGCACAAAGACGAGACAGGCGCATTCACATCACGTTCAGGGACAGATCACGACGCGCTCACAAAGCCACGAACACGCATCCCTCACACACGCATGCACACGCATGCACACACACACACACACACAAACTCCCCCACGCATTCCGAAAAAAAAAAGCTCGAGCATAGGCATACCGCACTCGGGCACACAGGTTGGACTCGGAGCTGCAGAGGCGCGCCTTGGCCCGCGCCAGGGCGGACGTGGGCGAGCTCGTCACAAAGGCCGCGCTCCTCCCGCCGACCCCGCGATGCGACGCGACGCGACGCGACGCGACGCGCGCCAGCCCCCGTGGCTCCGCCCCACAAAGCGACGCGCTCCACACAGGAAGGCCCGGCTGGCGCGGCCGCGCCCCCGAAATTCGATTACCCTCCTGCCGACTTTGGCCAATGTTTGGGTGCTGCGCCCACCCGCTCGCTCGCTCGCTGACTGACTGACTGACTGCAACGGTCGGCCGGCCACCGCGGGGCAGGGAGGGGCGGATGCAAGTAGGCGACAGGGGGAGACAGGAGGGTTGCGGAAGGAAGAGAGCATTGGTCCAGCAGCTGAGGGAAGGGGCACCGTACAGGTATGTGATCCCCCACCCGAGAAAGTGCCCGAAATTTTCTTTTGGGCAGATGGCGGAGTCCTCTCCCCTCCTCATTCGTTATTTGGGTGAAAAGCGCGGAGGGGAATAGGCAATTCTTACAACATGAGTGAACGACCTATGTAGCAATAAATAATGTGTCTGTAAGTTTTGTATTTTTGCAAAACGAAATCATTGCTACGAGAAAATTAAAGTTAATAAAAGTTACTTAAACAAGGAAAAATCATACCAAATTCTACCTTCTTAAAAATATTTATGGAGAAAATCATATCAAAGACGGATGTGGCGGTTGAGTCCAGAGCAGAAAAAAACAACAAATTAGGTCAAAATTTCATAATATATAGAAATAACTTGTATAACCTTCTTTAATCTCGTGCTTCGTTTATAGCAGTCATGTATTTTTAACATGTACTGTATGTATACCCTGAAGAGATAACAATCAACGTATTTGCAGATAGAACAAATGTGCATCAAAACAATTATGAACTTTTTTCTGGTAGTTATTACTGAAATGCACGCATATTCACTTTCATGATGGGAAACAAATATCACGTTAACAACCAACGGTCGCAATATGAGGGAAAAATAATACAATTACTCTTACAAAACCTACAGGATAAAGTTCAGAACGTTACGGTGGTACAACATTTTATTGTGTAATTCGTTGAATTAAATCAAAGAAATGACAGATTTTGTTGTTTTTGCAAGCACAGGCCTTTTATAGCTGCGATAGAGCCAGCAGTTTAGTTTGCCAATAGAGGAGAGTCAATCAATAAATTATACCCGAGAACGATCGAGCAAACAGACCCAAACATTGCTTACATCACTCATTCGCGTGTCTGTCACAATAAATCACTGTATTACCAGCTTTATTCTTGAACGTCAGGCCGCAATCACAGACGAGCGGACAGGTCATATCAATTACTGCCAACCACACTACCACTCCACGCACGGGCAAAAGAACTGTTCTGCCCATCGGGAAAGACCATGTACCTTGTAAATAGCGTCAGTCAACAGTGTCATGAGAGCATGACTAAAGCATTCGGTACACAGTTGAGGAAATGGAATTATTCAGAACTTCGTAAAACCTAAAAATTGCATAAAATGAGTTTGCAAAACTTTTAATACGACTCTTCAGTTAGAAAAAGGTTTGGTCCGAAAGAGGCTTATCTATGACAGTGCGTCTAACGCATTAGCGCAAATATTTTTTAATGCTTTGACTCTAACGTATCTGCATATGGATTGCGATCATTATTTTTCCATTTTTTTTTTTAGTTTTGTCGTTTTTATGGGTAAAATAGTACCGTTTTTTACCTTCATTTTTTATGCTTTCAATTTTAAAATTCTTAACATGTTTTCATAAATATTGTTCTGTAGAGGTTATCCACTGCACACCTCAGAATTAATTATGCGTGTAAGCGAAACCCGAAAGTCTAAGAACAATTGGATCTACATTCATCAGGTTGCAACCCCTCAGCGGAGTTCATTCGTACTCACACATTCTCACGATGACACGTCCTAGGTCACCAACATGCAGGATATAAACTCACCTGAAACAGAGAAAGAAAAATCAATTATTACAATCTTGAAAAATTGCGCCTAACATCGTATCGTAATATGCCAAATGGTAAAATATTAGTGGCCTGCATCAGAATTATTGATGCTGCAGTAAGAATAATGCATAACAAAACCACAAAAAATGGTTTTCCTAAACGGAGCACGCACTGTGCTTAAGAACAACAAATAAAATACATTCGGATACACTGCACTAAAATAAATCTTTTAATAAAGACAGTCTATAAGAATAGTGCAATAACATAGTAGTATAGTAATATAGTATACTAGAACGCTTCTTTAAATACCACAAATATTAAAAAAATGCTGTTCTATTAAGCAGCATGAGAATAGCGAATATTTAATGGCGGGCGGTCAATTCCTTTGAACCTTATTGTTACATGGCGTCAGGTGTGTCGCAAGCAGTGACTCAGGGAGCAAAATAATTCACTTGGTACGCTCAGCATCAGAGTACGGTGTACGACGCAATGAAATATTTCCATTTTCAGTCATAATCAAAACTTCTTCAGTACTTCTTTTCCCGATTTACTGGATATTTATCTAAACTATAAATACTTGTCTGGAGGCTGTGAAGATTTCTTTCAATCACGCATGGGAACCACGCACGCATTGGAAATTAGTGACATATATTTACTTAACGACATACTGGCTACATAAACTTTAGTGAAAAAAATGTTGAATTCCCACTTGGATGATACATAATACGAATATTTTCTCTCATGTTCCGGAAAATATGTAAAATGAACATACGTAGTCACAACAAATATAGCAACTAATAGCAACAGAGGACTCCATATTTTGCGAATTCCACAATACATTCGCTTGGGTGAGTTGGAGGAAATGAATGTGTGGACGAAGGAGGGGAAACCCACGCAATTTGCGGTGAAGTCAATTCGATTATTGATGGACTAATATAGAGGGCAGCATAGGCAGCGGGTAACATAGTTGAAATTTCCGATGAATGCCACAATAAAGATTACTACTTCCAGTAGAGGCACTGATTGAACAGAAACAAAGAGATCGATTAGTACAATATATACGTACATTAGATAACCATTTGTACTAATGGAAACTTCCGGAGGCCTTTCGTTGATTTGAAACGTACGGCAGTTCCATTTTCGTATGTGATCGCAGTTATGATATCTGAGCCACGGAACGAACACAGGGATAGTCATTATTGAAATTCGAGTAATTAATATAATGGAATTTCTTTTCAACGTAATATAATAATACATGTGAAAGATGACGCCCAGTACTATCAATTTACACTAAAGAGATAGTAACAAAAATTGTGAAACGTATTTTACATCCTGCTCTCTCCGCAGGACAAATTTCTGGGATAATTAATTACGGTTAATTATTAATATTGCATGATCTCCTAATTAAATGAGGATAAACTCATGGATCACACATAAATAACCTGGAATTGAGCTCGCGCCGCATCATTTAACCAATTACGTCTGCGCCAGTCCTAACACAAAACTGTTTCGTCTGAACATCCAAACCGTCGCCGGAGAGAAAAGACGGAACCTCGTTATCGAGAAGCCGAAACCTTGAAAAGAATAGCGCAACCGTTGGGTTTAGACAGAGCCCATCCTCTCTCTGGTTCCATTGAGGCTTCGGCGGCACCGTGCCGCAGACAGACGTCAATAAAAAAAGGACCGCCTCTGTTCTCCTTCCGGGCAGACAAGGTCCACTATGTATTCAAGACAGAGGCTTCTAAATGCCGAGTCTCTCCACGCGGGATACGGACCTTCGCCAGGCGCGGGAACGCAGGATAAATCAATACGTGATTTCATCCAACGAGGTCACCTCGCACCTGCTCGAGTTCCAGTTTGTAAGATAACTACGACACATTGTTTTACCCAAACAATGCTATTTTTCACCTGATATACCGCAAATCTGATACCCAACATTATTTGGTTTACGTATGTAGCACGACAGAGAAAAATTAACGAATTTTAAAGAAACAGTATTGAGTAAAAGCTTTTCATTAACAGAGAACCACTGTAAATAAATGGTTTTATTTTCTTAAATTTCAGTTCAAGTCTCGTTTCCAACGTTGTTGCAGGTTTCCTGTTCCAAAAAGTTGACGCGAATCATATTAGCGTTGTTGTGAGACTGTATATTAAGTAGTATGCAAAAATTTATGATTATCCATTTAAATTATTTTTGACTTTGAGATAATGTTTTGCTACAATACGAGAAACGTTTCATCTAAAAATCCGTTCAGTATTAGTCATAACTGGAATCTGCATGTTGATCACACAGTGCGAAAATAAAGACTACGTTCAAAGTTATTTATCTAAAGTTATTGGCAGGGTAATTTTCTGAATCACAGGGAGGTTGCTCACTCATTCAGTGCCATCAGTACTTGTGCAACTACTTTTTGAAAGAAGCATTAAAACGTAAGCTGAAGAGGGTGAAAGATTGACAACGATTCTTGGTGTTAAAAGATTCGTGACAAATCATAGGAAAATTCGCAACAGATCCGTGGCCCGTTTGTTATGTTACTGCTACGGCAATCTGCCACGTAGTATTAATTGGAAAAACTTAACAAGGGAATAAATAAATCAAAATCTTCCGTTTTGGAACGTGGCATACTTGTAACTATAATTACTAGGGCGCGGATTCTGATGACTTAAAACATTGCCAAAAATTATCAATAAAATGCTCTTAAAATGCTTTAAAATATCTTAAAAACAAAGAAAAATTAATTTAATTCTTTCAAAGAAAATTTCTGCCTTTATTTATCGCGAAATCGGCCGAAATGACCATGGCTCCGATAGGCGTCACAGGAACCTTAGGTTATATAGTACTGACAACGGCTGACATTACAATAATGAGCGAAGAAATTGAATAGGCTACTCAGGAATTCTACGGTGAACATTTGTTGCACTTCGTAAATATTGTTTAAAGCAAGAACCATTAAAATTACAGTAAAATCGAGTAAATCAGCGAAAAATGCAGTAAAAATGACATGAAAAAGTAAAAAATGACTTATTCGTCGACATCGAGGAAAAATGCAAAAACATGTCATAAAAGTGGTTTTCGTCATAACGTAAAATAAATTTCTATACTAAACGGCATTGTTCTAAAATGAAAAAAAAAGATCATTAAAATCTGCTCCTTAGTAATTACACAGTGTAAACGCTCGAGTCTAATCAATCAATGGCTATCATACAGCAAAGCAGCAACTGTGTCATCACACGCAGCCGTTGGCGGAGGCGTGAGCGCTAGCCACAGGCCAGGCTTCCGTCGGCCAGCTGCAGCAGCAGCAGCCGGTGCGCAAACCTGCCGCGGGCAGCGCTTCAGTTTCTGTTTATACAGCACTCGAGGTCAGGGCTGCAACTCTGCCCCCGCACCACCACGCCCCGTCCCGTCCCATCCCATCCCATTCCAACCCGCTTCGCTCTCGTCCACGTCCCCACCCCAGCCCCGATGGCCCCTTTCTCCCTCCACCTCACTCTACTCTTCCCCACGCGCCTGCATTACGCTCTACTCTTCTCCGCTATATTCCGCCCCATTCTACTCTTCCCCACCCACCTCCGCCCCGCCATTCTTCGTTCACATGTACTTACCTAACCTACTTCGCCCCTCTGTAGTCTTTCACACCCGCCACCGCCCCAAACTACTCTTCCCCACAGTTCTCCGCGCCATATTACTCTTCCCC